CCCTTAGCCAGGGCAATAAGGCAAGAAAAAGACATTAAAGGGATCCGCATAGGGAAAGAAGAAGTGAAACTATCCCTTTTTGCAGACGACATGATACTATACCTCCACGATCCCAAAAACTCCATCCCCAAACTTTTAGAAATCATAAGTCACTTCGGCAAAATAGCAGGATACAAAATAAACCCACAAAAATCAGTTGCCTTCCTATACACTGATAACGCACAGGAAGAGAGGGAAATAAAGGGAGCAACCCCATTCACAATAACCTCCCAAAAAATAAAATATTTAGGAATTAACCTAACCAAAGATGTAAAAGAACTATTTAATGAGAACTATAAAAAGTTAAAGAAAGAAATTGCAGAAGACACTAGGAAATGGAAAGACCTCCCATGCTCCTGGATAGGCCGACTTAATATAGTAAAGATGGTGATACTTCCAAAATTAATATACAAATTCAATGCAATTCCTATTAAAATCCCAATGACGTACATCACTGAAATACAGAAAACAGTCCAAAAATTTATATGGAACAACAAAAGACCTAGAATAGCCAAAACAATTCTAGGGGATAAAGACAATATGGGAGGGCTATCCATGCCGAACTTCAAACTCTACTACAGAGCTATAATCACAAAGACAGCATGGTACAGGCACAAAAACAGACCCGAAGACCAATGGAACAGAATAGAAGATCCAGATATAAATCCACAGGCCTACAGCCAGCTGATATTCGACAAAGGAGCCAAAGACATACAATGGAAGAAACACAGCCTCTTCAACCGCTGGTGCTGGGAAAACTGGGCAGCCACATGCAGAAAACTAAAAGTGGACCCCAGCCTATCACCATGCACCAACATCAACTCAAAATGGATTAAAGACCTTAACATTAAACCTGAATCTCTGAAACTACTGCAGGACAGAGTAGGAGAGACACTTGAACTAATAGGCACAGGAAGGAACTTCCTGAACAGAGTCCCAGGGTCACAACAAGTTGGAGAGAGACTCGACAAATGGGACTACCTTAAAATAAAAAGCTTCTGCACAGCTAAATCTATCGCAACTAAGCTAGAAAGACAACCAACTAATTGGGAAAAAATATTTACCAGCAATATATCAGACAAGGGGTTAACATCCTGTATATACAGGGAACTCAAGAAACTAATCCCTCCCAAACCTAACAAACCAATTACTAAATGGGCAAGGGAACTAAAGAGGGACTTCTCAAATGAAGAAATAAAAATGGCAAAGAAACACATGAGGAAATGTTCATCATCCCTGGTGGTGAAGGAAATGCAAATAAAGACAACCCTGAGATACCACCTTACCCCAGTCAGAATGTCCCACATCCACAAATCAGCCAACGACAAATGCTGGAGGGGATGTGGAGAAAGAGGAACCCTATTACACTGCTGGTGGGAATGTACACTTATACAACCACTTTGGAAAGCAGTCTGGAGGGTCCTTAGAAAGCTAAAGATTGACCTCCCTTACGACCCAGTCATACCACTTCTAGGCATCTACCCTGAACAACAGGAACCAATATACAAGGACACGTGCACCTCCATGTTTATTGCAGCACTGTTCGCAATAGCTAGGATATGGAAACAACCTAGGTGCCCCACCACAGATGAATGGATCCAAAAATTGTGGTATCTATACACAATGGAATATTATGCAGCCATTAGAAATGACAAAATAATGGCATTTGCAGGGAAATGGATGGAGCTAGAAGGAATCATGTTGAGCGAGGTAAGCCAAGAACGAAGAGACAAACGGTACATGGTCTCCCTCATAAGTGGATGCTAAATCCAAAAGGTTAGTGATACGACAAAACTAACAGGACTTAAGAAACAAAGAACTCCCGCTCATCTGGTTGAACCACTACTAAATATCCTCATGCTGCTGATCACAAATATGGTATATAACATGTGAACACTGTTATATATTACAGACTGTGGTAGACAATTTGCTCCAGGGAAGTTAGAATGAACTTGTGACTTTGAAATTATGTAATCATTTAATCACAATCAAAAAAAAAAAAAAAAAAAAAGAACCTCGGGGAAGGGAGGGAGGGAGGGGATGGTAGGGGGAAAACAATGGAGGGGGTAACAATGTTCAAGAGGAAGTGTACTCATAACCTCACTCATGTAACTGTGACCCTCTGTATAGTAGCTTTACAATAAAAAAAAAAAAAAAATTACAACCAAGGTGGTAGTGTTTGAAGGGTGGCATACAGTGAAGGGGAACAGTGTAAAGAACAGAAAGATGGATGGGACCATGTAAATAGAACTTGTCAGAAAGTCTGAAATGGTTATAGATGTATGAGAAGTCAGAGCTATCACACCAAATAACCTCACACCTTCCTGGAGTTGAATGGAAACAGGCAGCCATAAGAATGGCAGAAGATCAGACAAAAATGTTCCTATCAGACAAGTGCTTAAAGAGTTTCTAGTTTAAGACTTCAAAGATGTACAGATACTATTGTAAAATAGAAAGAAACTGCTTTATAGGCTGAATTTACAAATATTTTCAAATGCCTCAAATTTTTACTTTTAAGAAATTCACTGGCTGGGCAGATAGCTCAGTGGAAGAGTACTTGCCTTGCATGCATGAGGCCCTGTGTTCGATTCCTCAGCACCACATAAGCAGACAAAAGCAGGAAGTGGTGCTTTGGCTCAAGTGATAGAGTGTTAGTCTTGAGCTGAAGAGCTGAGGGACAGTGCCCAGGCCCAGGGTTCAGGCCCCACCACAGGGCAGAGGGGAAGGGGGGCGGTTGCTGATGGCTGCATGCTCTGATCCTACAACCATCTAGTCCCCTTTGCCTCTTCTGCTCTGGTCAAAACAATGCCATTGTCATGAACTGTCACTCCTCTTGCATCTTGCTTGTGATACTCTAAAATCCATGAAGAACAGGGAATAATTAGTTTATCCTGTGGCTTCTAAAGTACCCCAATGAAATAAGTAGTAGTTAACTGAGGTCCTGAATTAGAGATTTAAAACACTCATAGACCAAAAGAACACATACAAAATCAAGTTTCTTATATAATTCAACTACCTACTACTCTGATTCATATGCTTCTGCTGACAGGAAAAAGCAATATGTAAGAAATAATAACAGAAAAATTTCAGTGGAAAATATAATGAATCAAGGTATGTTCTACAAATTGTAGATTACATTTTAGCTACTTGGGCAGCCCACTTACCCCTTTTTTTGCTTGCTTGCTCTGTAACTACTAAAGTGGTATGAGAAATAGGGTCTCTATTAAATTAGTTTATATTTTAGAATCCTTCAGAACAATCTTCCCCTAAAAAATATTGGCTTATTGCCATTTCTAGTGGTTACCAGTTTGCCACAATTACTGATAATTTTCTTGATTCACAGAACAACTGCAACTCACTATATGCCAAGTAATGTATTTTCAGCTTAATTTTAAAAGCAAAACTGTACTCTCAGCCATTTCTTTTAGGCTCTGAGACTATGGCCTCTGGGCATTGCATAATCTTAATTTTATTATTTTCTAAAGGATAAATCTCAACATATGCTTTCAAGAAGAAATATCCTAAAGAATGGTTTGCAATAGTCTTCCTCAACAAAAACAAGAAATAAAACTCAAGTGAGGGGGCAGAATCAACCCCTAAGAAAGAAAAGTATCTAGGGGAACACAAAAAGTTAATCTGTCCTTCTATACCAATATTGGTGCTTGAATTCTGGGCTCTGGGCCTGGGTGCTGTCCTTTACCTTTATTTTTTTTTTCTTTAATGTATCCCTTAGCTTTGCTTAAGGCTGGTAGCATTGTATCATATGAGCCACAATTTTACTTCCAGCTTTTTAATGGTTAATTGGAAATAATCACATACCTTCCTACCCAGGATGGCTTCAAACTTAAATTTTAGATCTTAGCCTCCTGAGATAGCTAGGATTACAGGCATTAGCTACTGATGGCCAGCTACATCTGCAGAATTATGTGACATGGTCAATGAAGTGCCGGACTCTTGTGGGATCTCTCGTTCAGATTAGTCTTTTCTAATTTTTGCTAACAGGCTCCGCAAGGCTTACATCAGACGCAGAAGGGAAGACTTGCAGACAGATGCCGTGCCCCATGCCACTTTCCCAGACATGCAAGCCCAGCTCCTTTCTACTTACATTAGGCTCTCCACTTACAGTTACAAACAATGCGAGGGAATAAGAAGTAAGTGACAATCAAGACTCAGACTTTAGCCTTTCTGCTCTTCAGCACAGTAAGCCAACAGAAACGAAGGGAAATTTTTCTTTGATCAGTCTGCTTACAACCATTTTTGATCATTTCTGGAAGAGGTCATTACAAAACAAGCTGGCCAAAGGCTAGCCAACAAACCCAAGCACGCAGCCACCTAGAACTCTGGTGGGTGCTTTTATCGGGGAGGTCTTTCAATTACAAAGATCAGGGCGAGCCAGTCCTCGAACTCGCAGTTGTTCAAAGTTAAGACGACAGGACACACAAGTTCTCCCCGCTCCTCCGGGGTGGGCGCGCCGGCCACCTGTTGCATCGCCCGTAAAGTGGTCTTCAGTTCAGGACGGGCATCGTTTACAAACGCAGCGGGGCTCCGTTCCCCCCAATCCCGCCCTCGTCCACGTGCACGAGGTCGCTCGGGAGGCGAGGGGGTGCCGGCTCCGGTTCACCCTGGGAGGCCGTAGCCCCCCACACCAACGGCCGCCGCCCGGGGCACTCGGGGAGGCCGGAGTTTCTGGTGACAGGGACCGGGAAGCGCCGAGGGGGCGGCCGGGCCCGGGGCCGGAGGGCCCCACGACGCCAGCCTGGCGGGAAGGACACGACGGCCCCGCCAGGGTCGGAGCCCGGGAGCCCGGGGGGGGGGGGGGGGGAAGGCCCGAGGGCACGGAGGCCGGGCCCCGGGCTGCGCCGGCGAGAGCCTGCAAGGCCCGGCCCGCCTCCCCTGCCCTGCCCGCCGCCGAGGCTCCGGAGGCCGGGGAGCGGGGCCGCGCCGCGCCGCGCCGCACTCACCATGTCGTACACGTTGAGCACCACTAACTGGTTGGCCCCCATTCTCCTCGCCGCCGCCGCCGCCTCTCCGCACGCCGCTCCGCGTCCGCAGGGCGGGGGCCGCTCCCACCCGGCGGGCGTCTCCGGGGCCTGAGGCGGGCACTAACCGTCCAGCCCGGCCCGCCGCAACCGAGGCGGGAGCATCGGGCAGCCGGGCCGCGCCGGGGCCGCCGACAGGCGCCTGAGGAAGGACGGGGCCGGGCCGGTGGCTGCCCGCTCCGGCTCAGGCGCCTCCCCTCGGCCGCAGACACGTGGGGAAAGGCGGAGCCTGAGCGAGGGCGGGCCCCGGGCCGGCCCCGCCTCGGTGCCGGGGCTCAGCCCGCCTGCGCTCTGGTTCTCGGACGCCGCACCTCGGGACCTAAAATGGCGGCAGCCTCGGCTTCCAGACGTTCTTGGAGGTTCGAGGTCTTGGAAAGACTACAATTCCCAGCATGCAGAGCGGGATTCCCCGATTTCCCCACCCCCACCCCTGCTCGCTACTGGACATTCAGAGGCGGGTCTCGGCGCCTTGGACTACAATTCCCAGCATGTTCTGGGGCTCTGGGGCATTGGGGGGGGGGGGGAGAGGAGAAAGACTACATTTCCCGGCATGCACAGTGCCGTGGGTCTGTCACGCATCTTTCGCTGTTTGTCCTTGGCAGGCGGAGAAGTCTTTGAGCCTCCAGCGCCGGTTCTGCTGCTTTTTATGTAAGTTGTGTTCAGCCTGATGGAGCCAACGAAATGTGACCAAAAACCAACGGTGACTCAGTTTCCCCAACCCCCCCCCCCCCCCCCCCCCCGCCACCCTCTAGCCCCTCGCCCCCTTTTTGGGGCTGGGATAAGGGGGAAGCAATAGAGGACGGCAGGTCCTCGGCGTGAGGTGGGGACAGCGCCCGACGCCCCCGGAGGAGCCCAGCTCGGGGGGCCCGTCCACTCAGCAGACAGGTCCGTCATTGGTGCCTTGCAGAAAACCAAAGGTGAAGCCACTGAGAGTCACCTTCGCCCGGCCTGACGGGAGGGACTTCGTGAATTTTAGGCTGAGATCTGAAGGACAGAGTCAGCCTTGCATATACCAGAAGTTCCGGCCTTTCCAGGCGAAGGGCACAGAAGGGCCCGACCTAGGGCATGAACCACCTTTCCAGGAGCGGAGGCCTTGGTAGTAAAATGAGGCAGGCAGGTAGAAGCCACACCCTGGAAGGGATTTTACACTTGTGCTAAGGCTCAGGTGCTGGGGGTTTTGTTTGTTTTTGTTTTATGTTCCCGGGGCTTGAAATTCTGATGGCACTGTCCCTAACCTTTTTTTTTTTTTTTTTTTTACTCAAAACTAGTGCTCTACTCCTTGAGCCACAGTCCCATTTCCAGCTTCTTTGGTGCTTAATTGGAGATAAGACTTTCCTGCCTAGGCTGGCTTCAAACCTCCATAGATCTCAGCCTCTTGAGTAGCTTGGATTACAAGTGTGAGCACCAGCACTGGGTCAGGGCTTAGGTTTAAAGAAAATTTGAGTGAGGCAACCACATAAATATGTACTGTGTATTTATTTTATTTGGGAGGATTGATCAAATCTTGGAGTCTTTATTACACAGTTATTAGCAGGCTGCAGGCCGCCCATTGTAACAAAGGTTACACGTAACATAGCTAGGAAACAGACCAGAGAGGAAAGAAAGAACAAAAACAATACCAACAAATCAACTCAGCTTCAATAGAGAGGCGAATTGGGAGCCCAGGACGACTGGAGACAAGCCAGGACACAGGACACGATCACGGAAATACGTGGCATAGTGTTGTACTGTGTGTTTTAAAAAGATTACTTCTGAGCCAGATGCTGGTGGCTCATGCCTGTAATCCTAGCCACTCTGGAGGCTAAGATCTAAGGATCATGGTTCAAAGCCAGCCTGGGCAGGAGAGTCCATGAGACTTATCTCCAATAAACCACTAGAAACTGGAAGCGGCACTGTGGTTCAAGGGGTAGAGTGCTCACCTTGAGCTGAAGAGCTCAGGGACAGCGCCCAGACCCAGAGTTCAGGCCCCATGAGCAACCAAAAAAAAAAGATAACTTGTTTCTGTGTAAAGAAAAATGGACTTCAGAGAAGCAAAGGAGGTGGGAATAGGAAGGTCAGTGTGGTCGCTTGCGAAAGTGGCCAGTGTCTCCAGTTATCCCTCACCACTGCGAAGTATCTGGACTGTGACTCCCTCTGGCTATGGGAGATTAACGAATGTGATGAGACAGAGCCCCACTCTGGAGTGGAGACTTGCTGGCCTTTGAAGCCTGGCAACCACCGCTGTGTGAATGAGTTTGGGGTCACCTGATGGACGACAAGGGACACAGGTGACGTCATTACCCACATCCAGCTGACATCTGACCCTGACGCGCATCAAACTCTCCTAAACCATCTCCTCCAGTCCAGTCACCTTCCCCCTCACCAAATGCACCACCACCCAAAGAACAGGGAAAGTGTTTTTTTTTTTTTTTTTGGGGGGGGGAGGTCCGGTCATTGGGCCTGAACTCTGGGCCTGGGCACTGTCCCTCAGCTCTTCAGCTCAAGGCTAGCACTCTACCTCTTGAGCCACAGCACCACTTCCGGCTTTTTTTCCTGCTTATGTGGTGCTGAGGAATCGAACCCAGGGCCTCATGCATGCAAGGCAAGCGCTCTACCACTGAGCCACCTTCCCAGCCCCTCAAAAAAAATTTAAAAGTCACCTAACAGCTGGACATGCCTGTCATTCCAACTATGTTGGAATGTAGGAAGATTGTGGTCCAAGTTAGCCAAAACATAAATGCTAGACACAATCCCAGAAATAATTCAAGCAAAAAGGGTTGGCAGCATGGCTCAAGTGATAGAGTACCTGCATAGCAAGCACAATGCCTTGAGTTCAAATCTCAGCACCACAAAAAAAGCTGTGAAGTCAGGTTCTGGGGGCTCATGCCTGTAATCCTAGCTACTCAAGAGGCTGAGATCTGAGGATCTTAGCGCAGCTCAGAGCAAACATCCTATCACAGCGCAGGAAGCCTGGGACAGCCTGGATGTCATTCCTGAGCTATTTGCCTGAGGCTAGTACTCTACCACTTGAGCCACAGCTCCATTTCTGGCTTTTAGCTGGTTAGAGATAAGCAGCTCTCAGATTTATCTGCTGGTTGGCTTGAACCTGGACGCTCATATCTTACCCTCTTTAGTAGCTATGATTACAAGCCTAGCCACCAGTACCTGGTGAGTTCTGGATCTGAATACTTAATCTGTTTTGGGAACTTCATAAGGGACTCTGACATTTTTTTTTTCCAGTCATGGAGCTTGAACTCAGGGCCTGGGCACTGTCCCTGAGCTTCTTTTGCTCAAGGCTAGCATTCTACCACTTGAGCCACAGCACTGCTTTCGGCTTTTTCTGTGTATGTGGTACTGAGGAATTGAACCCAGGGCCTCATGCATGCTAGGCAAGCACTCTACCACTGAGCCACCTTCCCAGCTCAGACCATGACTTTTTATTGAGACAATTGCTCCAAGGACCCTCCCCTCCATAGTGTGTGTGTGTGCGTGTGTGTGTGTGAATAGATGCTAACCAGAGCCTCACAGACTCAGTTGTTGTAGATCGAGAACTGGCTGCCCCTGGTCTGTCCTGATGGCAGAGTCGGCTCTTGACTGCACAAGCCGTGGTCACTGCTGTGCTCTGCAGCTCTGATTCAGCTCATGGATTTTGGCTTTGTGAATTCTATTAGTTAAGGAGAGAATTTTATCTTTTCCCCAAAGTGTACAGTAGTTATTGCTGGGACTTCCATGTATAAAATCGTAGGTATCCCCATCTGATTCTGTGCGTGTGTGTATGTGTGTGCACATGCTGCCAGCACTGGGGCTTGAACTCAGGACCTACATGTTGTCCTTTCAGATTATTGCTCAAGGCTGCTACTCTACCACTTAAACCACAGCCCCGATTCCAGCTTTTGAGTGCTCAATTGGAGATAAGAGTCTCATGGACTTTCTTGCCTCAATCCTCAGATCTCAGCCCAAAGAGTAGCTAGGACTACAGGGGTAAGCACCAGTACCTGTCCTATTCTTGATCTTTGTAAAACAATGATTTCTTTGGGGAAAGCAGCCTTGTCTGTCCTGTGCAACTCTGTTTCGCCGATGAATGTCCATTCCTGCTGCATACGCTGTGGGTTTTGGATTTATCGGGCCCCTCTACACCCCACAGTCCACATATACATACCACATGAATACATGCATAGAGGTACACGTGCCAATACAGAGTACACTTGTACACAATACATATATACATGCAACACACACAGACATACCCACTCTCCAGCTCCTCCTGCTTATCCTGTTGAGCCCTAATACTAGTTATTTAGATAGCACTAATATTTTAACAGGTTAAGAAACTTATTCTGAGCACCAGAGTGGAATGTGGAAAGTTAGGATTGGAGCCTAGCTCCAGCTGCCTCATTCCATGCCTGAATCCACCGCTAGAAACCCTCTGAAATCTGTTTAAGACCTTCTTTAATTCTGCACACTTTTGACATACATTAACTACAGCCATACGAAAAATTTTTATGCAAAATACCATTTGGCACATCTGTACAGTTTTTACAATGTACTTTCATTGTTGGGAAGGATTATAATAACCAAAAGTAGTTTGTCTTAAAAATTCAGTAGGACAATATTGAATATCTTTAAATGAGAATAAATGCCTTAATAACACAATCTATAGAAAGTGTTGGGGAGTAATTTGAGAACATTTCTCAGATCTTGAATTTGATTCAAGTATTTCTTAGTCAAACACACTCCATGTGACTACATACGTACACGCACACACCCACATTATATCCACATTTCCAGAGCAAACTTTCGCTACCCCTAATTTTTCTTTTGTTTATTCTGCGGCTTGTGAAGTGGTTCATAGATGAACTGTCTGTAAACTCGCAGGTAGTAAAAGTAGCTGAAGACCAGGATGGACAGGAACACGAGTACCAGGACAAAGAGTAAGGAAATCACCAGGTAGATGTTTGGCCTGGAATAAGAACAGTGACAGAACTCACTGGAAGTCTTCCTTCACACTTGCCTGTTAGTTCACTTACTCAGAAGTACTAGAGCCTTGCTGGAGAGTACAGACTGCTAAGGCTTGCGGCTGTGCGCCAGGGCTTAGGCACAGTGCGAGAGGAAGAGGAAGGGGGTGGGGGGAGAGGAGGACTCTGAGTGGTAGCAGGGAACCTCGGGTGTCAGGCAGGAAAGCCAGTTTTGAGGTGTTACAAT